ACCACACCGCTAATAACCCTAGGGGTTGATGCGGTAAAAAAAAAAAAAATCTTATAGCAAAATAATTTCTTAAATATTTACAAAAAGTTTACTTTGAGTCATACTAATATTCTTTTATTTTAAATATTTAGTAATTTTGCCGTTCTGTGGCCAAGCAAATATTGTTTCTCCGTCGCTCTTTGACTACGACTAATGTAGTAATAAATATATATTTCTGTATGTGGATCATCGAGCAAAAAGACAAAACAGGGAATGTAAAGGTAGTGGGGGGAAACATATTGTTAGACAGGAAGTGCGATCTTTAGAGGCCACATTAAACAAGGAAAGAGAGTCTCTCTCCTTGTTTGACATCAAATTTAGTTGGGTTATGTTATTGTTTTTCCCATATGTCACATGAAATCTTATCTATATTGAAGTTTTTTAAAAATTGTGTCGCATTTCAGACTCTTATCATTAATAATTAATTAAAACTTTCTCGTCTAAGACACCTTCTGAAAAATATTATATAGCTACAGTTGATAAGTGTCGGAAAATTTAAATTTGGCGCATTCGCATTTCCGGATATATCTGCCATCAGAGGCCACTTTTTTGGTCTCCTTTTCATAAGCATTAGATTCCCTCTTTTGTCTTATTGCTCGATGATGTGGATACACTTTACCCAATTGAGTTAATTCGTTGTACAGAAAAATAAATTTTAAGATATGTCAAATCAATTTTCTTTAAAATGTCTAACCAGTCTCTTAGCATTGTTTGAACAGAAGACAAATTAATAATTGTATGTGGTTGTACTAATGTTTTGCCGAAATCACGTATAGTTCAGTCTGGTTAAAAAAAGGTCGAAAATATTTTCGCAGATATCTGAAGCTTTTAAGATATAGGTGTGTGATACTAGATGACGCATAGATAAAAAAGTACTCGTATTTTTACCTTGCGTTTTTTTAAACAATAAAATATGGTAACAATTTGATTTTTTGTTTTTCCCTTAAATTTTATATAAACAATATTTATATCATTTTTTTATATCCGTTAAAAAAAGACCTCAAAACCATAAAATCTAGTCTTGCACAGTCAACAGAATATTCCAACCCATTTACGCATGAAGAAATATCGCAAGCCCTAAATGAAATGAAAACAGGAAAAGCGCCGGGTTTCTCAAACATAGCGGCAGATTCACTAGGCAATGGCTTGCAGAATTCTTTTCTGACATCCTTCAAACGGGAAACGTCCCCCACCAACTCAAAAATGCAAAAATCGTCGCCATTTTAAAACCAGGGAAAAGTAATAATTCACCGAAAAACTACCGTACCATCGCACTCTTAAGTATGGTGTACAAATTGTTCGAAAGACTGTTGTATAATAGAATCAGAAAAACCATATTCCAACACTTACCAGTGGAACAGGCAGGATTTCGGCCAAACCGCAGCTGCACAGACCAGGTACTCGCCCTGACCAATTATGTGGAATCAAACTTTCAAAAGCAATAAAAAACAACCGCTGTCTTCATCGATCTATCTGCTGCTTATGACACTGTGTGGCGACAAGGGGCAATATATAAATTAATGCGAATAATCCCATGCAGAAAGACCACTGAGGTTATTAACGCCATGCTATCCAACAGATGCTTTAAAGTTATATTGGGAGACAAGACTAGTACCCAAAGAAAACTGAATAATGGACTTCCACAAGGATCCGTGCTGGCCCCTTGCTTTTCAGCCTCTATATAGCAGACATGCCAGAAACCACATCAAAAAAGTTTGGATACGCAGACGACTGGACGCTTGCCGCAAGTCATAAAGAATTCGAGGTCACTGAACGCATTCTAACAAACGATTTAAATGCCCTAGGGAATTATTTCCGAAAATGGAGATTGCAACCCAATCCAACTAAGACAGAAGTGTCCTGCTTCCATTTATATAACAAGATGGCCAACTATCAACCTCAAATCAATTTTGGGGATAGACTCCTTAAATATAATAAACGCCCAAAATACTTAGGTGTTACACTTGACAGAACGCTGAACTTTAAAGAGCATCTTACTAAGACTGCTGCAAAACTCCGAACTCGTAACAACATCCTCCAAAAGCTCTGCGGCACTACATGGGGCTCCTCAGCACCCACACTTAGATCGACAGCATTAGGACTGGTATACCCCATAGCGGAATACTGTGCACCAGTATGGATAAACAGTTCACATACTCACCGTGTTGATGTCCAACTCAACCAAGCCATGCGAACTATATCGGGTACAATCAAGGCCACGCCCACTTACTAGTTACCAGCTTTGAGTCATATAGCTCCACCACCCATCCGCCGGGAACATGCCCTTGTCAGAGAATTTACAAAAATCAATACTGATCCTGAGCTCCGCTCCCATGTCGGAACTTCCGCCAGAGACATAAATAGGCTCCGTTCAAGACACCCGCCTCTAAAAACAGCAAAAGGCTAGTAGATCAAAACTTTAATGTAACTGAACGGTGGAGAGAACAATGGGAGAATAACGCTGCATCAGCTAACTGGAACATGCCATGTATTACAAGCAAACCTGAGGGCTTCAACAAACCGAGGCGAATTTGGACCACACTCAATAGAATAAGGACGAACTGTGGCAGATGTTCCGACTCACTTTTAGATGGGAAAAAATACAATCACCAAATTGCGACTGCGGCGCCGAAAGGCAAACAGTAAAACACATGGTAGAGGAATGCCCGATTAGATCCTATAATGGCAACCCTTCAGATTTCCTGGCTGCTACAAAAAAATCAATCGAGTATATTTATAATCTAGATGTTTGTTTGTAGAATAATATTTTTATATTTACTGTTGTTTGTAATTTATATCATTTATATATATATATATTTATATGAACCTGTGATGTAGCCATACGCTAAATAAATAAAATAATTTTTTTATATCAAAAATATCTTTATTTTCCCGTTTTTTAAATTAAAATTGATAAATAATTTACGAAGATATTTGCCAAACAGCAGTTTATTTTCACTAATTTATGAGTTTTATTAATTTTTTTATTAACAAAATAAAATGTTATTAATACATTTGAACATCGAGGAATAACAGTCTTTTAAATTTGGGCGAAATATGTCAGTGAAATAGTTTAAAAGTTATTTAATTTATTGATCCCTGAGGCTAGATATTTAAACTATTGAACTTGTTCTATTAATGATGCTAGACACATTAAGCAAATTTAAATGCATATTTCGTTTTCATTGAAATGATTTACTAAATAAACCCTTGATAAAAGGGTATGTTTTTACTTATAAACACTTATAATTACTTCTATATTTTTCAAGCTACAGACTTGTACGTATAACCATTGGATAGCGGAAAAAATTTACATTAAAAAAATCTATGACTAATAGGAACGAAGTTAAGAACTATTTTGACGAAATTTTGGAATGTGGCAGCTGCTTCTCATCCCTCCTTTCTTTTACGCATACTAAGATATATTACCGATTTTCTATTATATAGATAACCTTTCTCCTATTCACATTAATACATATAAAATTTAGGGACACGCGGACGGTATACTCTGTGAACATTAGAGATATTTAGATCTAAAAACATAAATATATGTGTTTACCGTCCTCGTACTGTACATATACCTATACACATATATAAACATATCGATCGTCAAAGTAGGAAATAATTATAATTAATATAAGGAATATGTAAAACATTGTAAAATCAAAAAATATATGTTGGTTTTCCGAAATTTTACGAGATTTCCGGGGGCGGTGAATTTCAAATAGACTCAATTTTTTTTCCGAGTTTTCCCATATTTCCCGGTCAGTGAAAACTATGCTATGTAGTTATTCATATTTCAACGAGCTACCCCAGATTTAAAAAAAGAGGCTTCTAGCTGCAATTGAAGGCGAGATAATGTAAATTTTTCCTACGTGTTTCAATTTGCAGTTTCGATTTCGAAAAAAAAATGAAGCTGAAACAGTTATCCCCGTCACTTTTCTATATTGATTTTTCGAAAGTACCTTTTGTGCTAATTTAACTTCTTAATATTTATAAACAATGGAGATATGATTTTTTTTAAATAGAAACTTCGTTCCTATAGGTCATAAAAGGTTTTTTTTTAATGTGAGTTTTTTCACCAGCTATACAATGGTTGTACATACAAGTATGTAGCTTGAAAAAGTGATTACAATTGTTTATAAGTAAAAAACATAACTCTTTTTCAAACGTTTATTTTGTAAATAATTTCGATGAAAACGCAATATGCATTTACCTTTTAAAATAGTTTAAGTCTTAAAGAATCCTATAAAATTAAATTTGCTAAATGTGTCTAGCATCATTAATAGAGCAAGTTCAATAGTTTAAATATTTAGCCTTAGGGAAAAATAAATTAAATAACTTTTAAATTATTGGCCGATCGGGAGGGAAATTTGGTACAAATTTAAGATAATTAAGATAAGAAATTAAGATTATTCCTCGATGTTCAAATGTATTAATAACATTTTATTTTCTTAAAAAAAATTAATCAAATTTATGAATTGGTGCAAAAAACTGCTTTTTTGCATATATCTCCGTAAATTATTTATCAATTTTAATTTAAAAAACAGGAAAATAAGGATAATTTTGATATAAAAAAATGATATAAATATTGTTCATGTAAAATATAAGGGAAAAAACTTATAGACAAAAAATCAAATTATGACCATAAATTATTGTTTAAAAAAAAGCAAGGTAAAAATACGAGTACATTTTCATCTGTTCGTCATCTAGTAATCTTCAAATATGTCTTAAAAGCTTCAGATAATTGCGAAAAATTTTCCCGTAAAATTGATGATTTTTGAATAACCAGACTGGGCTAGTAGATATAAACATTTAACTTATACATTATTAATACTACAGTTTAACTGAGTAGACCAGTCAAGTTTTTGTATTACATATAATTTTTGGGTAAAGTTAAATTAAAAACAAACCTTATCACTTATGAACGAATATCTAATCACACTATTTATTTGTTGCAGAGTCTAGTGGTTCTAAGATGTCCTCTCAAGTTAATTATATGATTTTACTATTGTTTATTTATATTTTTTTGTAAACATACTTATATTTAAATGAATAAGTGCAAACTGTAAACATATTTAATTGTTATATGGCTCTGACGCTAATATGGCATGTTGCCTTATTAGTCAGAAGTCAGAATGGATTATCTGTTCCTTATTATACAAATTCGTATTACACACACATTTTTTTATTAAAAAGTGTTTAAAGTTTAATAGGTTTAATAATAAATAAAATATGCTGATCACTTATTATGAATCTATCCTTCTTTTTTTTTTCAGTACGTCAGATTCCAGGAAGTGTTTAAAATTTATCATAGAAACTGAAAAAAAATAATGAGAATTTATTTATTAAAACTATATTTAATAGAAAATTAGACGGCAAAATCAAGTTGATCTTAAAAAAACAATGCAGTCTAATCTACGTTAGACAATCGATGATTTTGTTGAATAAAATCGTTTCATTTTTTCGTGTTTTATTGTTTTGGATTTTTGTGGGGTAGTCTCTCTTCAAAGTCCAGCAGTAATCAGCCCTTATTCGAATATCCCTTGGTAAGGCCTCTTAATTTCATTTATGGCTTGGCGGAATCTTTCTCCCTTTTCCCTGCTGAAAACTCCAAAACTCCAAGGTTTTCGGTAAAATATTCAACGTCGGAATCCAAAAATGAAGTTGACGCTCATATTGCATGCTAGTTTTTTATTCAGAAAATAATTTTCAATACAACCAGAAGACAACGCAGAAGTCAGAATAGCGACATATTAGCAACAAGGAAAAATGTATTGAATAGATGAGTGGAGTACGTAAACCAGGCACTTAATATAGAGAAAGAAAAAGAAAACTTGGACGATACAAAAGATAAGGTAGGAGGAACAGACGAGAAGCAAGAGGAACCACCAAGGATTGTTGAAGTTAACGGTGCAGTTAAAAAACTAGCTAGAAACAAATCACCCGGAATACATAATCTCCTAACTGAACTATATAAAAAAGGTGGCCATGATATCATAATGGAATTACAGCAGCTTATAAAACAAATATGGACACAGGAATCCCTCCCCAATGATTGGAATCTTGGGATATTTTGCACCACACACAAAAAAGGAGAACTCTTTAAATGCTCTCACCACAGAGAAATTACGCTTCGAGATGCAGCGTATTAATTATTTTCCACAGTATGTCACCGTATAGCACTATATGCAGAAAGAATAGTAGGCAAGTACCAGGCTGGTTTCAGAGGTGGTAAATTCACAATTCATTAGATTTAAACCCTAAAACAAATTTTGGAAACAATGCTGAAATATGGCATTGATCACATATTTATAGACTACAAATCAGCCTAAGACTCTGTAAATAGAAAAGAAATGTTTAAAGCAATGAAAGAGCTAGGAATACAAAATTAGGGGAAATATAACAAAGCTAATTCTTGAGAAAGTTAAATGTAGAGTACGATTTCAAGGGGAACTGTCTGAACCTTTTAAAACAAATAACGGGCTGCGCGATGGAGACCCTCTCTCTTATATACTGTTCAATCTGGCTACGGAAAAAAGTAATACTTATGTCACAAATCACAACAACTGGTTTAATATATAAAAAATCAGTGTAAATCTAGGCCTATGCTGATAATATTAATGTTGTTGGCAGAACAAAAAACGCTGTACAAGAGGCGTATGAAGCATTAAAAGAATCAGCTACAAACATGGGTTTAATAATAAACATCAACAAAACGAAAATTCCTACGACCACTTGTGATTTAAAACGACGACGAAACCGCAGATATTGCACGGGACAAACATATGCTATTTTGGGCTCAATATCCTCCTTAAATCCGCAATAATATCAAGAAATACAAAAATAAAACTCTACAAAACAATAACAGTCCTAACATATGGAGTCTGGATGTTTCGAAAGAAAAGTACTAAGGCGACGCTATGGAGCAGTGAATGACAATGGAGTGTAGAAGAGACGATACAACTTCGAATTTAATAGAATCTACAAGGAATCTGATATCGTAACACATATTAAGATAGGATAGTCTTAGGTGGATAGGGCATGTAACGCGGATAGAACAGAATAATTCAGCTAGAAAAACGCTCCTTAAAAGAACCCGTTGGTCAAAGAAGAAGAGGAAGTCCCAGAACAAGATTTCTTGATAACGTCAATGAAGACATGACAAATATGGGAATACGTGCTTCGCGAAGAAAGGCGATGAATAGGAACGACTGGAGAGAAATTCTCGAGGAGGCTAGGATCCACGCAGGGTTGTAAAGCCAGAATAATAATGATATTTGCTATAATTTCTTTGTAGTTTGGAGATTTGTTGTTTCCAAAGACGCCGTATATGACGTTTACAAAAGAACTACATGCTTCAGATTCATTATGGGGCGTTGTATTCTGAAACAATCTGTCCGATTTTAAGGTTCGGACTACCTTCTTGAGTTTTAGCTTCAGAAAGTGTACATGTATTTAAAGCAGCCATTTTGTTTATTTGAAGCTTTGACAAACTGCTTCATCGATCCTAACTTTATGTGAAGTAAAGGCAAAATAAATAATTTTGGGTTAACTAATACATCACGCTGCACATTTTTTTTGTCCCAGTACAAGTATTTCTCTGAGTCGCCATTCTTTGTTAACGTAATGTAAATTTTGTGCTTGACTGTCCCACTCTCATAAAACATGGATACTTTGTGAATCCAGACTGTTGACCCAAAAGAATGGATATTATTTCAATGTGTCCAACAAACAAAAGGTACCGACACATAAATATTACCAGTGTACAACAAGACACCCTTATTACTTCTCTTAAAAGAATCAATAAATAGCCTCTATTATAGGACATCGTAATTGTTAGCTACCAGTTTTATGACTAATTCAACAATGTTAGTACAATACACCAGTGGACCCTCTTAAGAGAAATGTTCCACGAACTCTTTTTTACAATATCTATATCATGATAATTTTATCTTTTAGTCGTAATCATGAGATTTGTACAGTTTCTTTCGATAGACCAAAGTCTCTCACTAAGTCATTAACTTAAAGTTGGATGGTGTAAACAAAAATTTGAAAAATGGAAATTTCCGGGCCATGAGTTACAGGTAATGTAGTAGACCAGGGCTTTCCAAACTGATTCGTACTGTGACGCCCTTGGGACTTTGTTATTTTTTTACGACGCCCTCTCAACCTAAGCCCAATAATACTTACCAATTTTAGTAATGGCCTAGTAACATGTTATAGTTTTAACAGAAACACTATTTGAGCATTTATATTTTTTATTAGAAATTAAGAATGAAATCAAAACATAGGCACAAAAATGAAAAGGGATATATATTAATGTAACTGGCTGTTTAATGTGAGGGACGTGCTTGCTTTTTTGAGCACAGCTTACTAAACTAGGGTTCCAGTTTGAAAATTGAAAAAAAGTTTATGTTTGACCTGTACTTGTTTTTAATTACTGCAACTGCAGAAAAGTTCATTTCGCATAAGTACAAAGTTGCAAATGGTAATAAAACCTTTAATGCGGCAGTGCTGATGGCATGATCTTCATGAGAAAGTGAGCTCCAAAATTCAAACAGTTTTGCCTTGTCATATTAAAGCTTTAGGATGGAATAACATGCGTGTTCGCTTAGTGATAACATGCGTTGTGTAAACATATTTTTTAAGAAGGATCAAGGATTCATATCGATTTTTCTTGTAGAATACCTTGTAAAGCAGGGAAACCTTCAATTTCTTGATCTTCTAATTTTCTCTTCCAAGAGAGCAACTTCTGAAAGCCAGTAATTTTTTCTGCTAATTGGAGGATATGAGTATTGTTTCCCTGCAAAGACTTATTAAGATAATTTAATTTGTTAAAGATGTCACAGAATGCTGATTTTATTATAAACTCTGAATTAATATAGTTTAGCGCATCACCATGTGATTCCGTATGTAGATACGTGTAAAATTAATTTCTTAATTCGTATACACCTACGACTACTTTATCTTTGGACAGCCTACGGGAGTTGCAATAATAAATTAAAGAGGTTTGCTCGGCCGTCATTTCTTCACAAAGTTTATGGGAAAGTATTGATTTCCTGGGTCGTGTTTTAATCTAGTTCACCAATTTAATAATCCTATCCATCACAACACTTAATTCAGGAGTAACGTTCTTTCCTGCTAAGGCCTCTCTGTGTATGACACAATGTGTCCATTTAACACTTAAAGCCTGGTTTTGATGAGAGTTTGTAGTCCTCCATACTTTCCAGACATCGCTCAAGCACCATCCGTACACACGCCTACACATTTATCCCAGTTAATATTATTTTTAGTCATACATGAGTTTAAAAGTTCAAATAAATCAGTAGGTTTACAATTTTTATATATTTTTTTACAAAATGACAAATCCCCACATATATTTGTTTCTTGTTTGCATCGTACATAACATATCAATTGAGCATTTTCATTACTATCAGTCGACTCGTCCAGTTGAATGGTAAATAAACCTGAAAGTTTCCACACAATTTTCTCATTAATATTTTCTGCCATGTCGTGAATACGGCGACTAACCGTATTGTTTGAAAGAGGTATATTTCTTTAGCTGCCGATTCTTCAATTATCACTGTTACCATATCAACCGCTGCAGGTAAGATCAGTTCCTCAGGGATCGTATATGATTTTTTACATTTGGCAACGCGGTAAGCGAGGCGAGCAATGCTTTAGTAGAAATTGATGCTCTTTAACCAAAGCCGTGGTCTTATGTTTTAGCTCTCGCAATTTTCTTACAAAAAAGTCTCTTAGCTTACCTTGTAAATGACTGTGAATGAATTCCAAATGCCGTTTTAGTTTATTAGGAAGCATACCTTCAGCCGCCAACACTTTGTGATAAAAAACACATTGTGGAAGTTCTACATTCCCTTTAGTAACGCAGGAAAATCCAAATATTGGTCGTTATATTTCCTACATTTCTTCTTTTTACTTAAATTAATCCATTGTTGATAGCAAAAAACTCCGCGTGCGTAATAAAACAAAGCAAAAGCTTGACTAAATGACATAATAGGCGTGACAGTAAAAAACACGGAGGTGGGGAGCTGACCGGCAAAACAGGATGCGCCCTGCGTTCTCTAGACTCCAGTGTTGCCAACGTCCAGATAATTATCCGTACCATAGGATAATTTTTGGATAGAACAATTTTTTTAATAATTTTGGATAATTCATCGGTCTATCGACTTAATGTTATATTTTTTATTTGATTTATTTATTTGTACATATATTTTGAACTCAT